TTCGGGCAGGGTGTATACTTAGGCCATTTACCGTTGGCTTATAAACAACTTAAAATTCATCGATAATTAACATTAAAATCAAAGAAAATTCTTGTCACTTATCAAAAACTCATCGTTTAACAGGTTGCTAAATAGAGAGTTCGCAAATAACTGATATAATATGTTTGTCGGTTAATATTGGTTTATAACTAGCGGTATAATACATTAGTAATAATAAAAACCATCAAAGAAACATTACCATTACTAACCAACGACATGTCATGTAGTTATATCATCGCAAATAACCCAACTCATAAATCATTGCTATGCTGTTGAAAATAAAGGATTTTTTTCCAACGCATATTCAGGTCGTCGGTTTTGCCGTCGATCTTAGCATTTTTTTTTAGTTGTCGTTGACCACTGTTGGCTACCCCCAGTCGGCATTAACCATGGTCGATAGCCCATACTCGTAGTCGAAGATGAACTTTGCTAGCTAATGACGTATCTCAAATACGTTATAATGTCATCTCTCAAACATGGTATAACGTCGAATCCAAAATACAATGTTACAACATATCATGAAAAAATAAAACGACATATCCTAAATGTGCTATAACAAATAACGTTATATTAAAGTTTTGTCGATGATTCTAGGCCTTTGCAGCCGTCAACTATCGTCAACCACCACTAACCACTTTTCATTGGCCATTGTCAACCATCGCCTACCTGCTGTTGTCGACTGCCACTGACATCTCTACTCGTTGTTGTCAGCAAAATGCTAGCTAACGACGTATCTCAAATAAGTTTAATGATTTATCCCAAATACGTTTGAAATACTGTGTAACAGTGTATCTCAAATATGGTGTAACGAATAACATAGTTTGAAGCCTAGAAGAAAACTTTCAGCCTCCATAACCACCGACCTTTGTCAACCGCCCCAGATGGACATCATTGATGAAAATTGTTAGCTAATGACGTATCTTAATACATCGTAACAGTGTATCTTAAATATAGTGCAAATAAATAACGTGGTATTTAATATCTGACAATAAATCTGGTGATAACTATTTACAACTGTAGAATATGACATCCTCCGGGCTCTTGAAGTTTTATTTATATCATATAAAGACAAATGCAATGTTTTTTGTAAAATTATAACCCGTTCTCCCAGGTAGATACAGTGTAGTCACCAGTTATGACCTATGCGGCTAAATGCTATTACGACTTCTAACTGCGACCTCTGTGACCAACTGATGCTACTGCGGTTACCAATTATGTCATATGCGACCGACTTTGACCTACGTGACTAATAGATAATACAACTTCCACCAATGGCTTTTATAATGAACTAACAATATTATAGCCGCCAATTACAGCTTATATGATCAACCGGGGCCTATAGGAATAACTTTTGCTACAACTATCATCTACAACATACGTGACGAACTACTACTTATATTACTAACAGTTATTGCAACTACAAAACATGACATATGAGACAAATTACGACCAATGTATCCAAATGATATCACAACTTCTAAATATGGACTCTATGGCCTACAACCATTGTTGCAATTACCAAGTGCTGCCTCTATGGCCAACTAATTTTAATGCAATTACTAACTGTGACCCCTGTAGCCCACTAAATATACTACACTACCAACTATGACTTATATAACCAATTACGGCCTATGTGACTAATTATTATTACAGCTTACAACTACATCCTCTATGACCAAGTGACGTTACAACTACCAGCTACGACATATAACTAATTGTTACTGCAACTCCCAACTACAACCTAGCTGTTACTATAGCTACCACCCATGACCTATATGACAATTTACAACCCATGTTACTAACAACTTTCGCAACTATCGACCATGACCTGCATGGTCAAATACGACCCATGTAGCTAACTGCCACTGCAGTTACTAACTATACGATATGTGACTAACTACGAGCAATGTGGACAATTGCTACTACAACTTTCAATTACGACATCTGCGGTTGCAAACACCACGGTGTATGAGCGAGTCAAGCTGGCTCAAACTCAACTTGTCAATGAGCTCGCAAGTCAAGCTTATCAGTCGTGATTTTGAGCTTAAGCTTATAACAGGGCTCACATAATATACAAGCTCTAATTCGAGCATCATGCGACTCAACTCATTAACTTGACGTGTCGCTTAAATAAGGTAAGTCGTGATTTGCAAAGTTAGAACTTGGATACCCTAAAATACTATTTTGCATCAGAAGAACGCAGTCGGCTCCCTAGTTCCCACTCTCTCTTCCTTAAAAAATATTACATCTAGATTAGGCGTGTCCAAATTAGGTGCAGATGGTGGTTTTTTTTATTTTTTGTAATATTTGTGGTATTTCGGTATAATAATACCACAATAACACTGATCGTATTTACGTTATCCATATGTAATATTTTCTCCTCTTCCTGTTAGTGCCACGACACTTGTCGAACCCTCGATCTTCCCTTCCATATCGCTCGACGAGTCGATGTCGGCGCCGATCCTCGTTCCCCCATCATCTAATGTCATCGAGAAGGTTGTTTCTCCATCGCTTGGCATCGGGTTATCGATGCACAACATCCGAGAACGACAACAACCCTCGGATAAGAACGAGCTGATTCTCCCTATAATTTTGTTCTTCAGCATTGAGAATTTAGGCTACATGCCCTTATTTTATCCATATGTATATTGTTCGGTTATGATGATAATTTGGCCCACATTGTCGTTGTTGCTCCTTTTATTAATCAATCACATTGCCCTATTTGGTCTTCATATTTGTTGATATTGAAGGGTTTGTTGTTGAAAGATGGGAGGGAAGTTTTACATGCATACCACTTTAATTCTGTTTTTTGCACATCTAACCTCAAAATTTTTACTTCTACATATGTCATTTTACCTATATAGGAATAGTGTGCTTCACTTTTTTAAAATTTAAATTAGGTGGCATAAATGTAAAGAGTAAATTTTAGTTTTTAGATGCATAAACACATATAAATTATGTAATATTTATGTAAATGCCCAATAATAATTAGAAGTTTTATTAATAATATGATCAATATAATCTATATATTAAAATATAAGGCGTACCACTCAATTCATATGTATTTTTGCATATCTAAAATGTCCTAAACTTCAATTTTTACATATATGCCATATTACTTTTGCGTGAAAATGTCTAGTTAACTTTTTAAAAGGTTGACATAGGTCGTGGTATTTTTGATGCGATATGAATGATTTGGGTGGTATAAATGTAAAAAAAAAAAGTAAAGCTTGGGTGCTAGATATGAAAATGCATGGAAATTGGGTGGTATGTATCTAATGTTTTTTTTATCTCAATAACATCTTTTTGTGGCCACTATTAAATTTTTATGAAATAAGGCATTCTATTTATTTATTTATAGTCAATTGTATTATAAATTTAAAGCTCTTTTCAAATGCTTGATTTAAACCAACATCCAAATTCATAGACGCTATCGGGATCTCGAGCTTCCCAATCAAGCTCGAGTTGCACAATCAAGCTCGAGCCTTATGTATTTTCCTTGAGTCAAGCTACACTCGGGCTCACAATTTGAGTTTGAGTTCGAGCAAGATTTACATTAAATGAGTTGGGCTCATCTAACCCCCCTAACTCAAGCTCTACCCGACTTATTTATACCCATAAAACCACCCACTACATTCGTTACAACAAAATACAATTTTTTGCAGCAATCAACCACCCACTCTCACTATTATCGACAAAAATTATATTTGTCGTAGTCCAATTATGACTTTTAAAGTTGGACGATCATTGTACATTTGCAATCATCGACACTATAATTCAATCTTTTCTAATTTACAAGACGAACACACCGATGCACTCACAATCATACAGTGAATTGCTTTAATTGTGCGTTGCTTCGAATTTTGCACGTATGATCTCTGTATCTATCTTTTGCTACTTTTCAATTATTCAAGTGTGTGTTAGATTTCGTACCACACTAAGATATTAAATATCATTTTATTGTTTGAGACATACAACAATAATGTCTATATAAATGAATAAATATAAAAGTTATTCCATTCATTTTGTATGGTGTAGGCATCAAATAAAGAAAAAAAATCAACAAGACGTGTATGGGAAGAATATTCCTTAGCCCACCACTTCTAGAAACAATTCCCCCTCCCCACCCACGTGACTGACGGAATAAATGAATAATCGGGCCAACTTTTATTAAATTTATTAACTAATACTATAACTAGTATGCCATATAATTAAATAACTAAATAATAATATTTATTTATATTTATTTTCTAAGTGTATTAAGCATAATGTTAAATTTTATTATTTTAAAATTATATTTAAATGATATAATTTTAATAAAAATATATTAGTTTACAGAGAACAAGGAACCTATCATTACCAACTTAGGAAGGGTGGAACAGAGATTAGTCCCACATCCGAAGTTCAAAATGATTATTTTGAAGAAAATTTAATAAAAGAGAAATAGAAGTTTTTTTTTGACAAGGAAGTTTGGTTGTTCAGATGTGACCCATCCAAAATCTGTTAAATAAAATATATTTTTTTTATTTATTAGTAATATTTTAATTAAAATAATTGAATAGAACAAAACAACAAAAGCTGATGAGGATCAGCTCCGTAGAACCGATAAGAGAAACTCACAGACCTTGACGGCTACAAAATAGAAGACATCTTGATTGGTTCTTCAAGAAGTAGGTGTGTTGAATGCATCTTCACGATCAATTCGTAAATCTATTTGTAACTAGTAACTACACCTTGCCCTCAGCATTTCTTATCTAGCAATCAACATTCCTTATTTTAAAATATAATAATAATAATATTATTATTTGTATCAACTATTTTAAAAGGGATAGAAATTTTAATGAAAATATTTCTAATAATAGACTTTGACCTTTAAAGAAAAAAATTTTCAAATAAAATATTATATTTACAAAATAGCCCAAGTCAAACAATGTTCTTGCAAAACAACGGGAACCAGGCATAAAACCAGGAGGAAAGAAAAGGCGAATTGCTATTGCTATAAATAAACGAGCGATTCAGAAGCAAATCGTCTTCAGACGGAACGTGGTCCGACGTAGCCGCCGCGTGCATCTCCGGTCCTCTGCTTCCGCTATCTGTGGTGTTCGTGATCGAGTCGTTCCGCAGAATCGTCGGAGCGAAAATAAGGGCGAGGTGTACTTACAAAGAGGTTTGCGAATTGGTCGAGAAGATGCATTCGACACACCTGCTTCTCGAAGAACCGATCAGGATGTCTTCTATCCTGGAGCCGTCGAGATCTGTGAGTTTCTACTCGATTCTACATAGCCGATCCTCATCGGTTTTCGCTGTTATGTTCAATTTGATTGATTGATTGTTTTTTTTTTTTTAACCTTTCTGTAACCCTACTGATAAAATTTGTTTTGATTTATAAATCTGGGTTGAGAGTTGTTTGATTCATGGAATTTTGTTGATTTGGGTTTATCGTGTTGTTTTGTTTGCAGAGTTTTTTTCCGGCAATGACGAAGATCGTTGGGACGCTTGGGCCTAAGTCGCGATCTGCGGAGGTGATATCTGCCTGCCTCAAAGTTGGAATGTCTGGTATGCTTCCAATCGATCTCCTAAGAGAAATTACGGAGATGCTTATTTTTGTATGCCGGGCTCGCAAAACATGGTTGGAGGTGTTTGTATTCATTTTTTGTGTTGCTTTTTTTTTGTTTTGTTAGTGGCGCGCTTTGACTTTTCTTGGGGAGACGTGGATTATCACCAGGAAACCTTGGAAAACCTCAAGGCGGCTGTCAAGAGCACCAAAAAGCTGTGCGCGGTAAGCTTCCCCTTGCGGGGTTGTGTGGTTCTTAGGATGACAGCTAACTTGAGATCAGATGTTCAGTTATGTAAATTTCTTCATTAAATTTTATGATCTGTTTATGGTTTTGCACCCGCTAATAGTTAGCACCGGTTGTCTGAAAAAATAACAGACATGTTTGGCTAATCTCATGTCCATCAAGTCCGTTGCATCTTATCGGTTTTTGCAATAGCAATAACCTGATGACTTTTGTGAATTGGGGCACTACCAAATTCAAATCGGATGGAGCAAATAAACTAAAAGAATATCAACGCAGAAATTACAGCTCCCTGTTGATAAATAAATTTTGTTTTCTTAACATAGACTATGTTTGTGGAGTTTTTACATCCTAATACCTCCATATCACCCAAAGACAATGCCTCACTTTATGAAGAAAATTAAAGTATCCAAAAAATACAATGAATTATTCAAAGCACCCTTAATAAAATAACTCGTAAATATTGAAAACCATTCTTGTGATTTCTCGCTCCCATCCCCCCTCATCCAAGGCCGAGCCTTCACAAAACATTTCTTCATAAGATATAAATTAGGATTCACAAGTTACTATAACCTTGATGGCAATTTACTGACATGAACTTCTGTAATCTTTCTCACACTGCCTGCCCTTTTCTCGATGTATTTGTTGATGTTTTGTCTCTGTTTCAGGTAATGCTGGACACTGTTGGACCTGAGCTGCAGGTTGTTAATAAAAGTGGGAATGGTATTTCGCTGGAAGCAGAAGCAACAGTAGTTCTTACTCCTGACCAAAACAAAGAAGCCTCCTCTGAACTGTTGCCAATTAATTTTACTGGGCTAGCTAAGGTAAGCATGTGGATTGTTGGAAACTTTGGTGCATTTGCTCAAAAAGCATGAAGTTTGTGGAAGCCTCATAATTATTCTTGTTTTTATTTTATAAACGTAAGTGTGTGCTAGCTAATTTTGCAGGCTTATACATTTTGGTTTTGATTGTGTTTTCATAAATTCATAATTTTTATCACCTCCATTGAAATTGCTGGATTTCATGTTTTTAACATATTTTTTTTTAGTGAATTTAAGTATCCCTCTAAGTCACGTTTCATATGTTTGTAAAATGCCCAAATTGATGTTTGTGTTTATTTATGTTTTTCATCAACAGGCTTGAACTGTAAGCTAAATTTTTGAAATTATTATGACTGCCATTTTATCGTATTTTGTTTGATCATTATTGCTACCAATTGATCAGCTTCTTTTCGGTTCTCATCTGAACTCTATGAAATTTTATTATATTCCTTTTCTACTTGTTTCTTTATGCATGTCTTTTACCTTTCTGATATTCAAGTCATTTTACAGGCAGTTAAATCAGGAGACACAATATTTATTGGCCAATACTTATTCACTGGAAGCGAGACAACTTCAGTTTGGCTGGAGGTATTGCATCACTTCTGAATTTACTCTACTCTTGTTCTGATCAAATATTTGAAGTCATCTGATTCCCTGCGAGAAGAACAACAAAATTTTCAGCTTTATTTTTTTTATTAGATCCTTCACTCACAAGCTTGATTGGAATTGCTTCGACAAGCAAACACGAACAGTAAATTGTTCGAACTTAATATTAGTATTTGATCAAAACTGTAGGATTCTTGCAAAGCTACCTATTGTTATGTTTAGTGATGCAAACAAACCAAGTTTAAGCGAGCTCGAGTGTTGTTCAGCTAGATTTTTAAACAGATGAGCCAAACTTTTCCATTTATATTTGGCTTTTTTGCTTTTCAAGCTGACCATGAATTTTTCACTTATGCATAGGCTACTTGAAATTCATATATGAATTGGAGAGTATACATGTTGACACAAATATATTTATCTTTGCAGATATATATGTATGAAAGTGTGTGTGTGTGTGTATTTGGTTTGCAAGTAAAAAAACAAAACTAAAGCTACTTATCAAGTCAAAACTAAAGTTAATTATTAAGTCAAACACAATAAAACACAAACATCAAATTTTTTTCTTTGAAAATCATAGTTTATGTTAATTATTTGTTATCTTTAAATCATCATATTTAACTTTTGGATATTTCTATGGTTCAGGTAATTGAGACGCAAGATGATGATGTTGTTTGTGCAATAAAGAACTCTGCTACTCTAGCAGGGTCTCTATTTACTTTGCACATTTCTCAAGTCCATGTTGATTTGCCTACACTTTCTGAAGCTGACAAGGAGGCAAGTGATGAATTTTTCTAATTTTTCAAGGGTTTATTTCTGCAGTGTCTGTTTATGGACTGTGCTTTTTTAGAGAATTTTGTACTTCAATTTCTATATTCATTAGTCAAAATTTAGATCCATGCTACCTTCACATTTTTCTCTTATGTTTTAAATGCTGATTTTTATTCAATACCGTTTAGCTGAAAATGAATCTTATGTAAGGCAGATTTCTTACAAGTTGTTTTCTACTAATAACTTCATGCTGTAAATTGCATTTGAAGTTGTAGAAATATCACTGTGATTAATTTTGTTGAATTTAGGATAGATATTTATCTAACCTTAAGGAACTTTGAAAAGGAGGCCGCTTACCTGGGAATCTTTAGTTTATGATACGAATAGTGGTAGAAAGTAGTAGGGTTTTTCTGTTAAGACAATTTTTGGTACTTTCTATATGTGTGTTGAGATTATTTAACGAAATACTAAGCCAATTTTGTTGAAACTTCATCCTCCATCCAAGATAACTTCCCAAGAATGCAGCTGTGGAGAAATTTCCAAAATTTTCACCATGACACTTGCACATGCATATGTAAGATAGTGTTGATGCATGGCTTGGACTCTATAACCCTCGACAGTGCCAAATGTTTGGATTTTGCTGTCGCTTTTACTAGTTGATGCATTTTATTTTGCATCTATTTCTTTGAGGAGAGAATAGTGAATATATTTTGTATTTTTGGTCTTTAATTTGTGATGCATCTTTATGAGTTAGGGTGAGGTATCATGCTTTCGAAAATTTCTATATATTTTATCTCCTTTTAGGCTTGCCACCTCTCACTTTTAATTTAAATCAACAACCTTTTGCTCTCTCATAATTTTTAATATCTTCACCATCATAAATACCTTCGTTTTGAAGGCATTGGAACCTTCCCTTCTATCAAATGGTTTTCGTTTTTTCTTTTTTCTTTCTCTTTGAAAATAAAACAATACCTTTTGAGCTAGTTTTTTTTCTATCCCATCCTCACTCTTGGCTAATTTTTGGAGATTACATATGGGAAAATCCAAAAGGTCTTTTGGAATTTTTAAAGGTTTACCTTTTGTGTAATTTTGTTGTTTGCACATGACCACAAAATTCTTTGACTTTTGGGTGCTTTGTGTCCTAGTGTTTATGATCTTCCTTTTGGGGATTTGAAAGTTCTCCAATCATAGGTTTTGGCATTCTAGTAACACCCCCAATCTTTCCTATTGCTGTAACATTTTTATACCTTGTTTTTTCTGAGAAGCAATTTTTTTTTTGCTTTCAAGCATCTCATTCTTGCCGTATTTATGCCACCACGTTGATTTTAGCTGCTAAACTCCATCCACCGCTTGCAGTGCTAGTTGTAAACTCTTTTGTGCTATTTGTTTCCCAATTTCAGTGCTCCTTTTGCCATCTACAGCAATATTAATCTTTTTTTAGCCCTGTTTGGTTCATTTGAGAATGGACAGTTAATTTACACTATTGTTTTTTTAAATTTAGGTGTTATTATAATATTTTTTTGTCATTTTGTTCATAATTGTTGCAGCCTTATTTTGGCTCTCTCTCTCTTAGTCATATCTTCTAAAGGAACCTGAGTACTAAATGTTGAATTGATTACAACTAATTTTGCAATTATTTCATAGTTTAGTGTTTGCTTATTCTACCTTGGAGATCTATTTATTGTAGTACTTGCATGCGTATACACTGCATTCTTTTAGTTTCTAGATACTTTGTGTAAGTCATCCATTGGATTGTGTTTTCCCATCTGTTCTACATCATGTTTTGTAGTAGAGCACAAGGTTCTCCTAGGGGCTGATTTGCATAATGAATAAATCACAATTTATCATTGCATTAATTATGACTTACATTGCTTTATGCTATTTGGTCCCACTACCACTAAGAGTGGTTTCCCATTCCGTGCTTGGATGTTTGAATACCAGTATGAGTAGCCTTTGTTTCTTCTTTATGACCGGTTTTGTGACATTATGACTTTGCATGTTTGTATGCTCTTTGATATGCATAGTTGACTCGATACTTTGGTTATAGGTCGGTTTTGTCATCCTCCCCTAGTTGATCAAAATCAAGAGGTCCAATTCCACCAAACCATTCGGATGAGTGTGATTGTCATCTTGAATGCAATCCACCGAACCATTTGGTTCTCATCTGATGATTCCTTTGGGCTTCTGTTTTCACTTTCATTTAGAGGACGAGAACTTTGTTTACCCTTATATGTAAATGTACCTATGTCACCCTCCAACGCCACTAGCTCCTGTTTATAGTTTGGAGGCTCACCATTGCTTCACAACACAGTTCATGTCTTTGATGCCGGACAATGAGTAGTATCAGAGTTACCCCCATTTGCACCCTCACCATATGGCTGATTAGTTGCTAGTTTTTTTAATTTTTCTTTAATTTTTTTTTTATATCATCTTCTGCTGCACTGCCAAGCTGGATTACCAAAGCCGATCAAAGTTAACAATATGTTTTTTGTCTAGGACATAAGTTAGGTATTAGCTTAACATTGACGAAAAAAAATTGTCTCTCTATCCTGGTAAGCATGTCCTAGTGCTGGAAATTCCATTCGGTGATAAGAAGTAGTAAATTTGATCTGATATACCTAATAAACTAGCTACATTGAGATTACGAGCTGAACATATGACTTTCTTTTTATAGTGTTTTATAGGAGTGTAATTTGGTGCTCAGTGTCTGACATAAAATTTTCAGACAAAACTATTGTTTTGGAACTATTTCATTTGTTTCATCATCATCATCAGTCTTATCTTGTAACTATTTGGCGGCATTTCTCAATTTTTTAGGTTTTGTAATTATTTATTTTATATTTTCCATAAGAAAGTAACGTGTTGAATATTTTGTCAACCATTTCAGGTTATCAGTACTTGGGGAGTTAGAAATAAAATTGATTTCTTGTCACTTTCTTATACAAGGCATGCTGAGGATGTCCGCCATGTAAGAACAGCTCGGCTTTGTTTTTAAATAATTCTCCATCAATATTCAGAGGACTATATTACAGCTTTTCTCCTTTCATCATCATTATTATTATCTTGAAAAAAATTGCTTTTTTCACTTCCAAATTGGAATTTATCAGCAAATGGTCTTTTCTTAACCCTTCTGTCAAACTTACAGCTTTTCTCCTTTCATCATCATTATTATTATCTTGAAAAGATTTGCTTTTTTCACTTCCAAATATTACTTTAACAGCCAATTGTCTTTTCTTAACCTTTCTGTCAAACTTTGGACTCCAGGCCCGTGAATTCTTATCAAAGTTGGGTGAGCTACAACAAACTCAAATTTTTGCAAAAATTGAAAACATTGAGGTAAATGGCAAGAAGTATTTTCCTGCTTGAAAAATTTAAGAAGTTAGCAATCTATGCGATTAACTCATTTTTGAAATTTAGTGCCACTTACTTTCCTTATTTCGTTTTAGGGATTAACCCACTTTGATGAAATTCTTCAAGAAGCAGATGGCATCATTCTTTCACGTGGAAATCTTGGAATTGATCTTCCACCTGAAAAGGTTCAACATTTACCATATCTGTTGGATTTGGTTTATTTCGTCACATGCTATTGTACATTATTCTTATTTTATTTCCTCTTTATCTCTACTAAATATTTATAAAGTATGTTATTTGACTTCTAGATTGAAGTTCTATCAAAATTTACATTTATAATTATTTGAAAGTTGTAAAAAAATTCTAGAAACAGGATTTACTCCCACTTTAAATAGACTAAACTTAAAAAAATTAATGTTGATATGAAGCTGTATCGAATGCTAGTCTACTATTAGTCTATTACTATTATTTTCGTGTGCTTAAAACAGATGATACATCCATGGCATGTTTTTCTTTCAGTCTGTGTTATATGCTTTAGTTTGATATAAGGGTGTATTGATTGCCTTCTGCTTTTATCATATTTTATGCTACTTTGTTTGAAACTCTATGCAGCAGCTTAAACAAATTATATATTCTGGACATGTTATCTTTTGTCTGTGGTGAGTGCCCACGTTTGATATACTTATTGCATGTCTTGTTATTAATTTGCATGATTGTTATAGTTTGTGTGTATCTTCTTTTGTTTAAACTTTCTGATGTAGCTTAAACAAATTATACATCCATGGCATGTTTATCTTTCAGTCTGCCGAATGCTTGAGTTTGAAGTGTGGTATTGCTTGCCTTCCGCCCTTGTCATATTTTTGTCTTTGTTTGAAACTATCTGCAGAAGCTTAAAGAAATTAAACATTCAGGATCATGTTATCATTTGTCTGCATTGAATGCCCGAGTTTGATATGAGAGTGTATATTGCATGTCTTGTTATTAAATTACATGCACGAGTAATGGCGTTGACAATGGAAATAATTTATAACTATTTGTCTATAAAAATATTGAAGTAACTGTCTTTTACCATTGATATTTCTGCAATAAGTTGAGTGGAAAACTAAACTGCTATGTTTTAAGCATGCTGAATGCATCAGTTTTAAATATTTTACTTGGTTTACATCTAATTAGTCTATATTTCTTTTCTGCTTCCGAAGTTCTTAGTTAATATGAAGAAAAATATGTTTTGCAGGTCTATGAGTTTGTTTTGTGCTTTTTCAGTGGATTATCCTCCGTAAACCTACTTTCAAGATGTTTATATCATGTTTTTTTTTCTGTAAATTGGTTAGGTCTACGGAGAGCACAATCTTATTGTTAACCCTACCTTATTGTGACAGGTAGATTTAAGTTCACTCATTCATTCCTCATGAGTGCTATCGTGCTATGTGAGGTGTTAACTATATTTTGCTCTACTCTCTTTACACAACTTCTGACCATATTTACCTTTTATTTTCTTCCTTTTTCTTCCTTACTCGTCCGCATTAAATCTGTATGTTTGCTTTATTGGTTTATTTTCAGCCCTTCTGTGTACTTGCTTAAGCCACATAAACCTATTTTTTATTATATTTATTTAATTTATGCTCCTATTATTTATCTCCCTCTCCTAAACATCCATCTAAACAATCTTTCGTTTGTCAACTTTAATATTAGTAGGCTATTATCGAATACTTGATGCATACAAGATAACCAATCTAATTTCATTTTGCAAAATTTATCTTTTAGGTATATTATTATCTTATTATTTGGTATTTCTAAGCATTTATTTATTTTAAATGCTCAATTTTAATTCTAGATGTTGTTTATTAAATACTTATTCACGTGTTTTCGTGTTTAGTTGATTTAAGATACTTAGTTTTATCACACCCTTTAATCATCTGAATTTTCATTTATGTTAATTTATAAGCGTGAAATTGTAAATTATTTTTTTAATCTTTATTGTACTAAGTTTAATCCCTTTGTCCTCTAAAATAATTTACCCTTATCTAGCTCACCGGTTCACAACAGGTTTGAACTATTAGAATTATATGAGCAACAAATAACTTGCATCAATTAGGAGTGATAGATTGACAATTATGATTCAATATTATTAGAAGATAAGTGATACCCATGTGTAATATATTAATCATGCTGTATCTATTATTTAAAAGAAGATATAGATGTTGTATAATTTCTAAAGTTAAGGCTGGATGAGTATGATGGAGAATTGACTCGTGAGTTTTATGTGACGATGGTACATCATGATGTCTTAAAAATAAATATTGTAGGATATGAATCTTAGGCTATGAAAATTCATTCATTTGTGGGTGTTGCAGAAATGAGAAGGTTACTATAAACGTGTGACAAATTAGGATGGTTTTTAATGAATGATTATATTAATGTTAAGGTTGGAGTGATATTTATTTAAGACTCAGACTAAAAGTATACTTCAGTTGGGACAAATGCATCAAAGTGTATAAAATGCATTTATTATACTCGTTGATAAAATCAATGCTAGAATATTATGGAGGAAAAGGGATAGAACTAAGCTTACGTAGATGGTAGTTGTTTAAAATGATTTGCAAAGAATATGTTAAGCATTAGAATATTCAAATATAAGGAATTGAAAATGATGATTTATAATGCTGACCCTGAATAATTAGAGCAAGATTAATGATGATGATGACAGAATGATGATTTATAATGCTGCCCCCAAATAATTAGAGCAAGTTTAATGATGTTGATGACTATGATTATGAATAAAATGCTCTTATGTGTCTCATACCCAATGAGGGAAATGATAAATCCGTAAGATGGATATGATTGTGGGGTTGTAAAAAAAAAAGATAGAGATATAATCTCTTTTAAAGTTAAGACTAGATGATTAAAATAAAGAAATACCTTAAGAGCTTGTTATGATAAGATCATTGAGTTTTGATAGTAGATTTTATAAAATAATTATTATGACGGTGTTAAAATGATATGGAGTGTGTTCTAAAAAAGTTATTGATATCTAAATTGAGTGTGAAATGAATAAGACTGCTAAGCAAAATTAGAAAAGATAATGAGTGATTATATAAAGGAAATGTTAGAATGACATTTATTTAAGATGAAGAGATGAAAATAGACTTTAGTTTGGACATATACATTTTAATGTAGAAATTTCATCCATTAAACTTGTAAATAAAATTAGTATTGGAGGATTAGGGACAACAGTGTGTAGACATAATGTTTATATGGATTGTAGTAGTTCAAAACAATTTGCAAACAGTTGGTTTAACGCCTCTCACTGTATTCATTTGGAATGAATAAAAGAGATGTGTTCATGATGCCGGTCTCAAATGGTTGGAATAAGGTTAATGATGATGAGGATTCCGAATAGCATGCTTCAGTTAGCCTCATGAGGAAAATATTAAAGGTAATATCATATCATTTTGATGTCTTTTATAATCATTTTTGTTATAGAAAGATACAAAATTTAATGAATTCACATAATTATTCTTTCTGGGATAAAAATGAATATTGATTAGTTCAACTATACAAATTATACTTAATATATTGATGACTCTTTTATGATAATAATTTACCATTGGATAACATCAGACCACTTTCTTATGGAATAAGTTGTAATAAATCATAAAAATTTGGATTATGTCCATGCCGGACTTATCTGGTATCACCGTTTTTTGGGTTTTCACGCTTTATTCTTCAAGGAAAAAAAGAACTTAGCTAGGTTAATTTTTAAAAATTATCTGCTTGGATTTCTTTTCATATTCTGTTTCTTCTATATCCATTATAATAATATGCATGCCGAAATTAAAGAATTAGACTTATAGGAGGCCTTAGATCTATGACAAATGCAGCAGCTTTCTAAGTTTCTATTCTCCTGCCTTCTGTTTTTTCTGTACTCTTGCCTTATACTCTTGCCTTTCATATTGTTTTTTGTGGATACGAATATTCACATTAGAACTTAGGCAGTACCTTGAAGTGGCCATCTATCTTGACAATTAATTGTCAAAGCACCATAATAGTTTGGGTACTAATAACCTAGTAGCTAGATCAGTGGATTGGGGGTAGACCACGGATGTAAGTTATGCAAACAAACTTCTAGAATATTTAGTTAATATGTTACTTAGCGTTCAGTAGAGATTAATGGATATTTGTAAATAACTTAGGCTGTACCTTGAAGTGGCCCCAAGCATCATATTAATTTGGGTACTAATAACCTGGTAGCTTGATCAATGGATGGGGGGTAGACCACGGATGGAAGTTATGCAAACATACTTCTAGAACATGTAGGGTATTTAGCATTCAGTAGAAATTAATGGATGTTTGTACATAATTTTCATCATGAACTGAATTATTAATGAACCGGTCCTAGCCTATGACAGGTGAGGTGATGTACCTTTGCATGCCCAAGTTTTAGTGGTTCTGCTTGTTTTGTAATATTATTCATGTTTGAATCTAATGTTTATTCATGTTTGGCTTGTTCGATAATTCATTTATTTCAAAATCAACTTATGTTTGAAATAGCTCGTAAATTACATGTTCGTGTTGGGTTTGATTTGAGTCATTTGTTTGTTTGCGGTTTGTGCTTGACTCAAATTTAACTAAAATGATTTAAAAAATAATAAATTTATCATTTTTAAATGAAGCTTAAAAAATGAATATAAAAATATTATAATAAATATTATTTATTTATATATTTAATTAATTAGAGCTAAAATTAGTTGAATTAAATAATTTGCAAAATGATCAAACCAGACGAAATGTTGATTGTTCTTTTCTTAGTCATTAGCATCAGACTGATATAAATGAGCATATGGATCAGTAATCATTATTTCGACAACAATCAAGCTTGAAAGCTCAAGTTACTGCATTTCAACCCTAATATGAGGCAAGCTGTATTGCATCTATTAGTTCTGGTTCTCAAGAAATTAATGGCAAGTAGATTGAGATGCTTTAAAATTGGTGCTCGAGACCCTTTGATCCAGTTTCAATAGTTATAATGTTGGATGATGCTTAGATCACCAAACTTATTCCATCGAGGAGTAGAGCAACTTCATCACTTTCAATGTTTCTATGTTGGTTGCTCATTGGAACTCAAATTCTGAAATCTCTCACTATGAGGGAACCTTACCGACCCCGGGAGAATGATGTGGAGCTAGAATTTTATTTCAATTTATGTCTTGGTTTGTGTTACAGTTGTTGTTGTATCTCTATGTTTGAGGATGACATACGTGTAATTGGGAGAGTCTAGTATTTATAAATAGGGGCTATTTTGTGTGGGTTGGGTAAGAGGGTTTTGAAACTTGTGTTTGTTCTCTTAGGAGATTTCAGTCTATCCAAACCTAACCCTGTAGTTGCATCCTGCATTGCCGCCCCGATGGTGTTTAGCCATTATCTTATTCTTCATATTATTCACTTTTTTTCATAGTTCTTGCATTGTTCTTGCTGAAATTAGTAACTACCCTCTTTGGCCGGTATAAAAATCACTCTTGAAATATAAGAGAGACTTAGTTTAAATAAGCCAAATTAAGGTACTGAGCACCTAGTAATGATGATAGGATGATATCTTCAAGATTACTTTTATTTTGAGGAAAAAAATTTACAAGGTTGTGCATAAATAGAAGGAATTATATGAATTTGGACCAGAACTAGTCCATCTAATTATTTCTTTAAGATTTGGCTAGATTCTGCTCATCTCCATAACCCGTACTGCTCTCATGCATCCCTATGGCTGAATATTTGACTTCTACTAAAGGTTTTAAGTCTTCTCTGAAACCAAATTTGGATAAAACTTGCATAACTTATGTGATAATGCCAATTAATTCAGCCGACCAAAGTTTCTGAAAATGTCCTTTCATTTGACAGGCCAAAATTTATATAATGTTTTCCCAAATTATTTGATGAATTTTATTATCATTGCGTTGAATAAATTGTTGTCATTATTTTGATGTATCACGTCTCATACTTTTAAAAAGCTTCGACCCTTATTATAATAATTTTCTATCAACTTGGAAATTTAATTCCTTATTATTTTCCTTCTTCAGGTGTTTTTATTTCAGAAAGCTGCTTTGTACAAGTGTAATACATCTGGAAAACCTGCTGTGGTTACCAGAGTGGTTGATAGTATGACCGACAATCTCAGACCAACTCGTGCTGAGGCAACTGATGTGGCAAATGCCGTACTTGATGGTATGTCTGTTTCCTAATCCTCTTTGATTTTAGTGTTTTAATAAATGCCATTCTGCTCACTATAATGAATCATCTAAAGATATACAAAATATTAATGATTTGTATTTTTTGTGGTTCTCATTGGGTTCAGGGAGTGATGCAATTCTTCTGGGCGCTGAAACTCTTAGAGGATTATACCCTGTTGAAACTATCTCAACAGTCTGCAAAATATGCGCAGAGGTTAGTTTGACTCTCTTTTTAATGTAATTTTCTAAATGCTGTCAGTTTGTATGTTTAGTTATGGCGTTGGTGACTAATGCTTTAGTATTTTTGGGGGAGAAAGTGGATATGCTGGATAGAACTGCTAATGAAAATCAAAAGTAACATTTATGAGCTTGAAACAGTGCCACGCTGCCTATGGAAGCAGTATAATATGAATTTAGCAATTCATCCAAGTTTAGTAATGAACTTTTGAATTCGTTTGTAATGCTTGTACTATGAATTAGTAATATGCATAAATCATTACATATACTTTTCGCATCTTCACTACTATAAAGTTAATGCAAGATTTATTTGACTAGGTGAGGAAGCTCTAGTCGTAACCATCCTATACAATGATTATTTAAGGCTTTTTACAGCAGGCATGTGCCTCTTGATTTTTTGAGTTTTATTTTGTTCCATAGTGTTGTATTTGATGATAATATCTTAAAATTTTTTCCACTTACAATATTTTATGTGCTTTTTACTGGTAACAGAGTTTGCATTGTGAGTGGAATTACCATTTTTTTTTTCTTCGTATGACACCAAATTGAGAAAATTTCGGGTGCAGAGTTTCTTGAACTTTGATATAAGGAAGTAAATTGTGCTTATAAAGCCATTCCCCAACCTTTATTCCTTTCAATCTTTTTAAGAGTTGCCCAACTAATCTCTAATAGCATTGGAAGTATGCTGCAATAGTTTTTGGATGAATAATTATTCTATACTTCTTGTTAGCCATTCTACCAGTTTGTGACTTTTCACACGGGTGTTTTGGCTTTCAAGATTGATAATTACGCATATTAAATTCATGCACTGTTATTTAAAGTCTGAAAGTTACTTTTTTTGTTCATTTCTTTTGAGTGCCTAAATATGTTTAGGAAGCCTTCTTACCCATATTCTTATGTGCTTCACTGAAATTTTCTTTCCTTTGTCTTGTTAATATGTCTGAATGTTGATATCTGTTTGGTAGTTTTTTCATTCATTTAAAACATATAATTACAGGCGGAGAAAGTTTTCAACCATGAACTATATTTCAAAAAGACCGTAAGATTCGTTGGAGAACCAATGACCCATTTGGAGTCAATTGCCTCTTCTGCTGTATGTCAATAATTTCTTTTCTCTTTTGCCTCTTTTGTAGCTTCTTACCTTGCCTGCTCTTTCTTATTATGTTTGTGATGTTTTCTTAGGTTCGCGCTGCTATTAAAGTTAAGGCTTCTGTCATTGTCTGCTTTACTTCATCTGGAAGAGCTGCTAGGTAATGTTCAAACGGCACACATAAATTATGGATTTGCTACTTATGTGTTCTTCCATTTGCAAACCCTCATGAATTCTATCTGTGTCTTTAGGCTAATTGCAAAATATAGGCCCACCATGCCTGTTATATCTGTCGTCATTCCTCGGCTTAAGACAAACCAATTAAAATGGAGCTTCACGGGTGCTTTTGAGGTTAGGAAAATATTTTGACTATTTCACTAATCTATTCATGCTTTATGCTTCTAGAATTGATGAATTTTGCCTTGCACATTTACTTGTTTTGCCTGGCACTATAAATTATTATTTTCTTTTGGAAATGATATCTATAGTTTTTTTTTTGTCAATGAAATCTGCAGGCAAGACAATCTCTTATAGTGAGAGGTCTTTTCCCAATGCTTGCTGACCCCCGACATCCTGTAAGTATCTCTCTATTTTGGGGTTTTTATTTCTAGAACTCATGTAATAATATAATTTGTTAATTTTGTGCAGCTGCGTAGTTTTTAATGTTCTATCTATTTTTCGTATTTTCTGTTGAACTATACGGAACTTTTGAATGACATGATGTCCGGCTGCCCTTTTTCCGTTTTACACCCAATATAGTACTTCATTTACAATTATGATCCATTTTGCTTTGCACATAATGCTTCTTACTGGTGTGTCCGCGACAAATTGATTTTTCTATCAGCCTCTGCATTATGGTATTAATAAAAGTGCCATGATTTTTGAATGATCGGACTGTGAGTTCCCCAAATAATTTCTCTGGAAAAGATTACCCTTTTGTCCGTCTCATGAGTTCATGAATGCTCTGTGGTGGAAGGAATCATGCGATAGAATTCAACCAAGCAGGACACTGTGCTTTCTATTTATATTAGAGATTGATATTTAAACTACAAATTTACAAAATTACAGAATTTATTTTATTAAATTGACAATTTTTGGAACATGCCTTTCCCTGCCTTTGTTATTTAATGACCTGGGAGAGAATGTTTTCTTCTATTTATTTTGAGTTGGGTTCTGGTAATAGAAACCTTTTTTAGCCAAACACCCAATCACCCACCCACCCAATTTTCTATGATTTTAACTCGTAAATGATTTCTTAACAGCTGATCATCTTTGACATCCTTTGTTTTGACAAACTGCATACCATGATTTCTTAACAGCTGATCATCTTTGACATCCTTTGTTTTGACAAACTGTTGGTATGCTATTTTGTTTGGGCCATTTACATACTTGTACATATCTAACACTTAAAGTTCGCTTTGTTACATTTGTACCACCCAAATCTTACATATCAATAAAAAAATACCGCCATTTTAAATTCTAAAAGGTGAAACACAACTTTTTATGCATAAGTAAGTTGTTATTTACGTACAGCTTGAAATTTTGGTGTTAGATATGTATATACATAGGAATACATAAGAATCAAGTGTTATTTATGCAAATCTTCCTTTTTTCATGGACAATGATGTTTTTTTTCGGTATGCATGCAAATCTTCCTTTTTTTTTTCTTGGGGGACAAACTTTTGAAATGCTAATTGTTTTCATTTGACCAGGCTGAGTCCACTGGTGCCACAAATGAATCAGTTCTGAAGGTTGCCTTGGAATATGGCATTGCATCTGGTGTGATCAAGGCACACGATCGTGTTGTTGTTTGCCAAAAAGTGGGGGATGCTTCGGTGGTGAAGATTGTAGAGCTTGCAGATTGAGAGAGCTTAGCTCATGAAGCTCTCTCACACTACCAAATTTTATATCTGGTTTTTGTAACTTTTTTTTCCCCCTCTAGCGTTTCATTGGCTGTATCAACAGCTTTTTTGTGGTCACTGTAAGCTTATTTTTTATGCTCTGTTTGCGAGCTTAATAATGCTCATGAAACTAGAACTTTAATACAAGCTTTTGGGTTAGAAGTTTGAATTATAGTGTTTTCACTATTGGGTGCAGCATTCTATTTATATGCTTTTCGATCTGACCAGTCTGTTAGTATTCTTATTGTTTTATTTAAGATTTACATATATACCGCTCAGTTCCGGTGTATTTACATATATAACACCTAAACTTCGATTTTTACATGCATACCTCCTTACCTATGCATGATAACGTGTACAAGTTAAAATGGTGATATTTTTGTTGTGATTAGAAAGCTTTAGGTGGTATAAATGTAGAATCAAAGTTCAGGTGTTAAATATATAAATTCATAGGAATTGGGTGATATGTTGTCATGTAAATGCAGCCTTGTTTGAATGAGTGTGCAACTCAAGGTTTGGGCCCTCTATAAATGATATTATTACTCTTAAAGGATCTTCAAGTTCATTCTACAATAATGCTGCAAGCAGACATTGTCGTTAATAACTATATCCCTATCCTTCTGGTTCTTATTAGTCTTCGTTTTTATTGTAAATGGTGAGCAATAACACTTAAAATGTGTGATTTCTATTCATGCTTATGATAGAGTTACCAATGAAGGCAGTGTTTAGCAGTAAGCTTCTAAGAGGATTTGCATATGGATCTAACAATTCAGCCAAATATGAGAATTATGTTAGATAACACTGTTATTGTTGAGTCTCAAGCTCCATATGTGAAATTTGGAATTTGGAAGGTTGTGTTAGGTAATAAATAAAAAACATAAAATTTGTTAAAAAATTATGACATGAATTTTTTTGTTCTTTTGTATAAATGCTCGGGCGTTCATTGGAAAGCGACGCGTTGTAAGGTCCGAATATAGTGAAAAGTGTGTCAAGACTGCTACATCGGCGCCCGGGTGGAGTGTCAAATAAACAAGAGTTCTCACATTACAGACAAATGTAGGTAAAGAAGTTTGTCTATTAAACTCTATTAAAATAAAATCTTGAAATATAAGTACTTTCATAGGTAAATTAATAGAATTAGTTGATATTATGATTTATACAAAGATAAATATTTTGAGTAATTAAGAAACTAAATAGGTTGGAGAAAAGACTAAGAAGATGGATAGCTTAAGTTTTAAACATTGGTATTCAGATAAGAGTCGCACTAGAAATTGTGTAGATATAATTATAAATAAGAGTTTGAAAGATAATATTGTAAAAATTAATAGAATTGGAGGTAGAATTATAGCCCTTAAGATTGTTTTTGATACCAAGATTTTTAATATTATGCTCCTCAAGTAGGTTTAGATAGAAGTTTTAAAGAAAAATTTTGGAATGACTCAGAAGACTTAATACAAGTGATACCTCTTAAATAAAAAAAAATTTATTGGATGAGATTTAAATTAACACGTTGATCGAGAAGTAGAAGATTTTAGAATTATTCATGTTAGCTACGGTTTTAGAGTGATTAATGAAGAAGGTAGAGTCATACTATATTTTGCTTTAGCATATAATATTGTTATTGCTAATACTTTATTTAAGAAAAGAGACGAGCACATTAATGGATCTAATAAAACACAAATTAAATATTTTCTTATGAGAAGAGGAGACCGTCTATAATGTAAAGATTGTAAGGTCATTCCTACTGAGAATTTAATCATTCAACATCAATTATTAGTTTTGAATTTTAAGATGAAGAGTTATAAAATAAAACATATTAGGAATCATTTTCATAGAATAGATGGGGGCACCTTAAAGACAAAAAAAATTATTTTTATGAGTAAACTTTAAGATTTAATGATTTGATGTTCATGAAGAAACAAATTCTATGTGAGATAAACTAACAAACACTATTAAACAAGTGACAAAAGATGTATTTGGAGAATAAAAAAAAGTTGCTATAAATAAAAATTGTTGGAGGTGGAATAATAACATGCAGAAAAAAATAAAATATAAAAAGTGTTATAAAAATTGGTTTAAATGTAAAAGCTTAGAGAACTGAGAAAATATAAGGTGACCCGAAGGGATTCTAAGAGAATAATCTGTAATGCTAAAAATTATATTTTATTGATATTTGTAATAAATTTGATACTAAAGAGGGTTGAAAAATATATTTATAAACTAGCCAAACAAAGAGAAAAAAAAAATAAAGAGCTAAATCATGTGTATTAAAGTTGAAAATTAAAAAGTGTTTTTCTTAGAAAAAGTTATTGAGAATATGTGGGTGAGCTATTTTGATAAACCTTTTAATGAAGTTTCTGAAAATATAATTGACCTTAATCATTGCAATATTGTTAATAATAATAAAATAATATATTTTTATTGTCACATTAGTAAAAAGAAAGTTGAGAGACTAAAAAAATCAATGGTGGAAAATCAACAAGATCTGATAATATCCCAATTGAGGTGTGCAAATATTTAAGAGATTTGTAAGTTTGTTGACTTACTAAAATCTTTAATATTATTTTAAAAACTAAAAAGACGCTCAGAGGAGTGAAGAAAGAGTATTTTAGTCCTCATTTTTAAGAATAAAGGGGGTGCACAAGAGTGTGCAAATTATAGAGGAATTAAGTTGATGCGTCATACTTTAAAATTATGAGAGAAGGTAATTGAACATAAATTAAAACGCATTATAAAGATTTCTCATAATCAGTTGAATTTATGTCGGGGAGGTCTGCAATAGATGATATACATTTATTGAGAGGTTTGATGAAGAAGTATAAAGAGAATAAGGAGGATTTACTTATGATTTTTATTTATTTAGAAAAAATCTTATGATAAGATTCCAAAAGAAATCCTTTGGAGAGTTCTATAAAAGAAAGGTGTGATATGACATATTTTTAAGCCCTTAAAGATATGTCTACTAGAGTTGTTAATTGTGCTTAAACTAAAGGAGGATTGACCCAATATTTTCTTATTTCAGTTGGATTATATCAGGGATCAGCTTTAAGCCTATATCCTTTTGCTTTAGTTATGGATGCTCTTACTGGACAATTACAGGAAGATGTACCTTGGTGTATGCTTTTCGCCGATGATATCTTTCATGTGGATAAAACTAGAGAAAGAGTTCAGGAAAAACTTGAATTATGGATGTCTACATTGGAGACTAAAGGCTTTCGTTTGAGTAGAACTAAAACTGAATACGAGGAATGTAGTTTTAGTAGTAGTAGCTCTAGTGGCAAAGTTGTAACTATGGGCGATCAAATCATTAAAAGGTGTGAACGCTTTAGATATCTCGAGTCTATTATTCAAAGTGATGGTGAAGTGATGTATTCAAAGTGATGGTGATATAGATGGGGATGTTATTAGTAGAATTCAAGTTGGTTGGTTGAAGTAGAGGAATGCATCAGACATTGTGTGATAGAAAAGTATCACTTACACTGAAATGAAAATTTTATAAGATTATGGTGAGACCTACAATGCTCTATAACGCAAAATGTGACCTTTAAAAGAGAAGCATAAAACAAAGTTAAATGTTGCCGAGATTAGAATGCTTAGGTGGATGAGTGGCTTGACACTTAAGACAAAATGCGAAATGAATATATTCATGATAGAGTTGGTGTGGCCTATTGGTAGATAAAATTAGAGAGAGTCGTCTTAGATGGTTTTGTGACAGTAAACGTCGACCATCTGATGATTGGGTTAGGAGATTAGATGTTTTAAATTTGAATGATATTAAGAAAGGCAGAGTTAGACCTAGAAAAACTTGTGCATATTATATAAAAAATGAACTTAAGTTATTAGAATTAAATGAAAATACGAAACTCAATAGGACACAATGGGGAAAAAATATTCACTTAGCCGACCTCACATAGTGAGATAAAGACGTGTTGTTATTGTTTTTGTTGTCATTAAAATTATGTTAGATAAATTTGACACCGTGTTAAATCCAATTTTCTTCCTGTTCCATCTATCTTGCAATGTAAATTTGGATTTATTAAATCCAACTATTAGGTGGAGTTAACAGTATAGTTTAAGAAGAAAACTGATCAAAGGATTTATGCCAAACATCTCAAACAGATTTAATTAGATTTAACATTAATTGAACCAAGCATTATTCCGAATTTAGCAACATCTGGTTTTGATAAATCTGGATTTACTAACTCCTACCTAACTTAAATTTATGAAATCCAATAAATTTATCAAAATATTTTATAGGCTTGAGATTCGATCAAGAGAATACTTTTTATTCAAATAGAGCTTAAAATATTCAAAAAAAAGTTTATTGTTATCCAATTATCCATCATAATATACATATCAATATGAATTTCTCACCATTTTTTTCTAATTTGGATGAAAGTCTAATCTTTTTATAATACATTAATTTTCTCTTTATTTTGATTTAACTCATTTGTATTGTGTTTAATGCAAGTCTAAACAATTGGTGGAATATCATTTAGATTTATTTTTATCAAGGAGCTTCATACCTACCATTTCTCCTCATGATTATTATACTTCTCTCTTTCATTATGATTATACAACTTAAAACTTTTATAAATAATTCTATATTATATGCTTTGTCATGTGGTTTTACACATTGCCACCATGCATATTAACTATTTAATTTCAACTTTTTATGTTGTCTAGAAGACTCTAATTACATAAGAATTGAGGGGCAAGTATGTAAAATTTTAATATTACAAACTCAGTAAACTTTTTGTAAATATTGATGAATTTTTTTAACCGCTGTCGTGTGGATAACGTCTCCCCATTCTCCATCTTCCGAGCTGCAACTCAGCTCAGCTAGTGGCGGGTGTAGAGAGTTCATCGTTCTTCTTCTTATGATGGCCACCATCGGCTTCCAATCTCCCCGAATCCGAAACCCTAGACCGCATTCATCAGCATCTACCATCTGTTATCCCCAATCCTTCTCCATCACACTCCCGTACTCGAGGAGATTCATCTCCAACGCCTCCTCAATACACCGACGCCTCAGCTGGATCCAACCGTCGAGCTCCGTCACGTCGCCTAGCGATAGCACAGTGTTCGAACCGGGGGCAACTGAGGAGAAAGAAGAGGATGAGGTTGATCCGACGTCGGAGGTGCGTTTCTTGGACCTGGATGCGGATCGGACGGCGGAGAGCATCACGGAGTGGGAGTTGGACTTCTGCTCCAGACCAATACTGGACGAAAGGGGAAAGAAGGTTTGGGAACTGGTGGTATGCGATTCGTCGCTTTCACTTCAGTACACCAGGTACTTCCCGAACAATGTCATCAACAGCATTACTCTCAGGGACGCCATTGCTTCCATCACCCAAGAGCTCGGTGTGCCCTTACCCGAAAGGATTCGATTTTTCAGGTCTCTCTCTCCTCCCCCCTGGCTTGTGTGTATTTGTTTTTTTGTTTGGAGATAATGTGAATAGGGTTGCTTCTCCTTCTTGTAGATCGCAGATGCAAACGATTATAACTAAAGCTTGCAACGAGTTGGGAATCAAAGCTGTTCCTAGTAAGCGGGTAAGTTATATAATTTATGTCCCTTTGAAAACACAGACCAATTATGATTGGCTTGCTCCTGGCATGGTTGCGATGCATGACTGATTTTTTGATTATTTGGCATATCAGTGCCGAAATAAGTCCCGCCGGGGCTGTTTGGCATCATGTCTGGTTAAAGTTAGTAGGGTTTAGTAAATCCTGTCAATCAGGATTTAGTAAATCCTGAAATAGTTAAATCCCAGAAGATGTTTGACTGTGAATTTAGTAAATCTAGTTGAATCCTGTAAAGCTTTTTGACAACTTATGTGAGGATTTAAGAATTTGCTAGGTTTGTTAGAACACATAAACTTGATTAGATTTTGATTATTTCATTACAATGGTAGAGATTAATTCTCACTATATATTTTAAAATATTGAAAATTTAATCAATCCTTTGATTTTAATAATCAATCACCATTTATTGATTTAATTAGAGTTATTCGCTTGCTAATGTGCATTTGATTTACTAAGAGTTAATGCATATAAACTCATGTGGTAATAATTAATATTACGTACTATAACCAATTTTATTTAATAAAGTGCAAAATATTTATTTGAAATTTACTGAAATCATCAATTGAAATACAGTGCAGAACATCTTCATGTTTAATCCAACAATAAAACACAAATGAAATTAAAAAAAAAAAAATGTATGATCTTCAACAACACATAAAAAGTAACTTTCTTAGGTGCTGCTTCTCTCGTTATCTCTGAAACAAATATTCAAGTTGTGTTATCAATTGAAAACAGTTCATAACATCTTCTTTTTATTTAATCCAACGTCAACCACAAATGAAAAAAAAGAAAATATATGTAATCTTCGACAACACATACAAAGTAGCTATCTTACGGGTTATTTCTCTTATTTTCTTGAACATATAAAACAAATATTTAAACTTGTGTAATGTCTTCAAATAATTTCCTGCAAAACAAAATAAGATTATATTAAACAGCACATTAAAAATAATCTTTTGTTCAAATAAATTATGCAAATATTTTACACGTGCTTCCTATAAATTAATAACAATTGCATATCACATTGTATTATTTTGAGCTCTCTCCTCGACAGATGCAAGCACGTTAGGACTTCACTTTCGATTGTTGTTTCAACCTACTCCCTGTCACACTACATTTAACTTTGACATGTTAAAATATATATCATAACGATGATACTGAAAAATAAAAGGGTTTTTTACATACATAGCATCCAAAACACTATTATTTATATATTTCACACCCCAAAATTTTAATTTACAAAATAAACACCTTCTCTAATGTCTGACATGACGCACTCGACCACACTTCCACGCCTTTCTTTCTGCCTTCCTTCCTTCGATTTGGACCGGAGTTCAGATTCCAACTTTGTGGCTATAATTTTGTAAGTTATGAGAAAATTACGTTGGCGAGCTTTGGTTGAGTTTTTTTGAGGTCTGATTGAGCTCTACTCTCTTTAGAAAGCTTTGTTTCAGAGCAAAAAATTGCTTGAGCTTGATCGCAATGGTGCGGTCAGTGGAATGAATAGCATTCCAGGACGTGGGTGTTTGGGTGAGCCGGGGCTGCGCAGAGGCAACGTTGGACTGCAGATGTCTTGGTAAATATTTTTGTTGCAAGGGCGTCCATTTCAAGGTGATTACAAAGGAGTATGATGCGATAAAATTCATTGTTGGAAAAGTTATCTATGAGTCCTCTTGGCTACCGTCTCCAACATCCCCTTCGTTGTCAACCATTCAGTATTAGTTGCCGACATATATGTTGGGAACGGGAAGAAGACGACTTGCTTCTTGCTCGCCAATGCCACGTAGCTCCGACTTATCAATGTCGGCGATCTCCATGAAGGATGAGACTAAGAATTTGATGGACGTGAATAGAAGGTGTGATTTTGGGGAGCTTTTAAGTTTTAAGTGTTTTACTCATAGAATAAAATTTTGAAGTGTGAAATATATAAATAATTATGTTTTGGATGTTATGTATGTAAAAATCTCAAAATAAAATTATGTAAGATGACGTAAACAATGATAATATTAACATGAACCTTCAACAAAAATTATCACATATGAGTTAAAACTTAAAATCTCTTTTTTCTACCAAATATTATCAGTGTGTTACATAATAGAGCATGATATTTTGTTATTGTATAGCTTCTTCGTTGCTGAGTTCCTACAAGATACTGCTCAATAATATTCACTTAGATCATACCTATATCCATGATAAGACACTATTAATTTTTTGGTGTTTGAGTAGCCAGAATCAACTAGATAATATCGTCATTGTGTCGCACGAAATGTACTGGAGAGATCCTGCTCAACAATCTTCATTTAGACCATACCTATATCCATGATAAGACTATTAATTTATTGGTGTTTGAGTGGCCTGAATCAATTATATAACATCGTCATTATGTCACACGAAATGTGCCACCCTCTACCAACCAATGCAACACTTTCATATCAGTCAATGATTCCTGTCAATTATAAGAAACATAAATAATCTGACGATCAAATGAGGCAACAAATATCATATTTTGATAAGTAAATCTTTTTCTATTTTAATACATATATTGCTACTACCAATTGACAATGGCCAGTACATGCGTACTGTCAATTGTTCCAATTGTGTTAAGAGAAAACTGTGAGTTTGATCTGACATAGGGGTGATAGTAGGATTCTACTTTGAAATTTAATAAACTCATATGCTAATAGTAGGATTCTACTTTGAAATTTTAATAAACTCATATGCTAAGCAGACAATAAATTATAACAAAGTTAGTTCATGGCTTGAAGAAAAATATCATTTTGAAAATTTAATAAACTCATCTGTTAAGCAGACAATAAATTAAGAAAACTCATTCTACTTTTTGACTTGTTACTCTAAATTTTTTTTCTCCCTAGAAATGAAGAAAAAGCTGCATTTTATCTATTTTTGGCAAAAAGTTGTATCAGAACCTTCAAAACGCGTAAAAAATTGAACACATTCAGTTCGTGGCACGAGGGCACTGCAACGTGACGTTGCGGCGCTTCTATATGTACTACGGTGCTACATTCCAAGCATCGTATTATCAAGCTCTCGGGTTTTTGGTCATTTTTTCCCTGGTTCAGCA